TTTGGTACTTGGTTCTTTGTTTCTGTGATATATCTCAGTATTATAGCCTCAAAGTCCATCCAAATTACTGCAAAGTTCATAATTTTGTCCTTCTTTTGGCTGCATAATATTCCATTATGTGTATGTACCACATTTTTTTAATCCAGTCCTCTTTAGATGGGCAGCACAGTTGGTTCCATGTTTTTGCTATTGTGAACAATGCTGCAATAACCGTGTGTGCAGGTATCTTTTTTATGGAGTGATTTGAGTTCCTCCAGGTATATTCCCAGTAGAGGGATAGAGGGGTTGTATGGGAGACCAATTTCAGATCTTTTACGAATTGCCACACTGTAAAACTATACTTTTAAAACCATGGACTCAGTCCCATTCCAGAGACTTTATCCCAAAGAAATATAAACATAAATATATATTTATGCATTGCATTGATGTATATTGCAGCATTATTTTGGGGGCAAAAAATAACTAAACAAAGTAGGGGAATATTCTCATAAATCATAATACATAAATCGTTTCACACAGGTGGTTAGTATGCAGTTATTATAAAAAATGATTTAACCTTAAACTAGTTGACATGGAGAGATTTTCAGGAGGTTGATTAAATGGGAAAAGATAGTTTGTATGATATTCTATTTATGTAAAATAATCACCAGAAAACCTCTGTATGTACAGATGATTCCTGTCTTACAATGGTTTGACATAGAATTTTTTTACTTTACAATGGTGCAAAAGCATCCACATTCAGTAGGAACCGTACTGCTCTTACCATGCTGGGCAGCAGCACTGAGCCATAGCTTCCAGTTAATCACACATTTTTGATTTAGAATATTTTCAGTTTACAATGAGTTTATCAGGACATAATCCCATCGTAAGTTGAAGAACATTTGTGTTTATATGTGTGTTTGTGTATGTTTTATATATAATTTGTATTAGCATGGGGAAAAATATGAGAGATATATGTTTGCTAACATGGATTAATTGACAAAGAGGAAAGATGGAGAGACAAGTAAAAAAATAAGAATTCCTGCTCTAAAAATAGCATATAGGTTAAGCATGTATACCTTAATGTATAATTATATATTGCCTTGTATATTTATAAAGAATTTAATTTAAAAATGTAAGGAATTTCCTTCAGCCTAGCAAATAATAAATGCAAAGAGATTGAATATTATGAAATTCTTTTCTAAAAATATTTAAAAATAAAGCAAGGCTCGGCAGCTCAGCCTGTAATCCCAGCACTTTTGGAGGCCGAAGTGAGTGGATTGCCTGAGCCTGCAGGTTCGAGACCAGCCTGAACAATTTGGGGAGACTTCATCTCTACTATAAATGAAAAAAATTATTTGGACATGGTAGCACACGCCTGTAGTTCCGGTTACTTGGAAGGGTGAGGCAGAAGGATCACGGAGCCCAGCAGGTCGACACAGGTAGCTGTGAGCCTGTGTGCCACTGCACTCCAGCCTGGGCAACAGAGTGAGACTCCAACTCAAAAATATATATATATATTTTAAAATAATGAATACATAGTTATAGCCTTGCTTAAAAGTAAAAGAAAAGCTGCAGTAATTCTCATGCCCCCCTTAATTTTTCCAATCTAATTGCCTTAATATAAAAACTTTACAAAGATGTCTTTAGTCAACATAGTAACAATTTGTAGATTTACAAAAGGAAAATCTAAATAAGCCTTTTAATTAAATGTTTTACTCTTACTTATGATTGTAATCTTTAAATAGATTCTTTTTAAGTTACTAGTCTATTTTCAGGAGAATAGTTGTATACTAAGCCTCATTTTTACATAAAATTTCTGGCTATTGTTTTAAATTTTATTTTAGCCTTTCATTCTTCAATGAACTAATGTCATCTTTTTTACACATTCTCCTTTAAACCTACTCACTCAAGCTTTATTTTAATGGATAAGATTATTTTTTAAAATCTCTTACACCTAGGTAAACTAATTGTTTTTTCCTTGGGCATAATTTATTCCTTAACACTGTTTCTTAAGTTTCCAAAGCAAAACGTTCATGTTTCTTCACCAGAGTCCTCTAGCTAATGCCTACATTTCTGGTGTTTTTATTAGAACTCCTGATACTATGATCCACATACTTTTTTTTTTTTTTTGAGTTGGAGTCTCACTCTGTCACCCAGACTGGAGTACAGTGGCTGCTACTGGCCACCGCAGCCTCGACCTGCTGGGCTCTGGCGATCCTTCCGCCTTAGCCTTCCAAGTAGCTGGAACTACAGGCACACGCTACGATGCCCGGGTAGTTTTTTATTTATTGTAGTGATGAGGTCTTGCCAAGTTGCCCAGGTGGGTCTCGAACCTGCGGACTCAGGCAATCCACTCACCTCAGCCTCCCAGAGGCACAGGATTACAGGCTGAGCCACCGAGCCCGGCATGATCCACATACTTTGACGTTCAGCAACAGTAGCTTGATAAGTCCCAAAATATGCTGATAGCTAATCATAGCTTACATGTATTGATACTACCCTCAGCCACACACTGTTTCAGTCATTTTACGTGTATTCAATTAATTTTTATAATACCTATGTGATAGAGTGTAATTATGCCCAACTAACAGATGAGAAACCGAACACAAAAAGGTTAAGTAATTTACCCATTACCCTCTTCTGAAATTCATACCATTTTGTGAAAATGAACATGGCAGATGAACTTTGTCTAATATAACTTCAAATCTCTAAGACTATTTAAAGAACAGTAAAGGGGCCTGCCAGCACTTTGGGAAGCCGAGGTGAGAGGATTGCCTGAGCCCACTGGTTCAAGGACAGCCTGGGCAAATTGGTGAGACCTTGTCTCTACAATACATATATAAAAAAATTAACCAGTCCTGGTAGCATGCACCTGTAGTTACAGCTACTTGGAAGGCTAAGGCAAAAGGATCACCTGAGCCCAGCAGGTTGAAGCTACAGTGGCTGTGAGTGTGCCACTGCACTCCAGCCTGGGTGACAGTGAGACTCTGGCTCAAAAAAGAACAGTAGAGGATACCTTCACCTATTTTATTACCAGTCCTCACTACCCTTTAAAATATCTGTACACCAATCAAATTTTAAGAAACCATCATGATATTATATGATGCCAGCAGAACTAAGAGTAGTCAGGTTAAAAAATGATTTTTATGAGAAATCCCAGGGGAAGAAAACATTTATGTATTTTTTATTTATTTATTTTTGAGTTGAAGTCTCACTCTGTCGTCCAGACTGGAGTGCAATGGCCACTCCCGGCCACCGCAGCCTCGACCTGCTGGGCTCCGGTGATCCTTCCGCCTCAGCCTTCCAATTAGCCGGAACTACAGGCACGCTACCATGCCCAGCTGATTTTTGATTTATTGTAGAGATGAGGTCTCGCCAAGTTGTCCAGGCAGGTCTAGAACCCGCAGGCTCAGGCAATCTACTCACCTCAGCCTCCCAAAGCGCAGGATTACAGGCTGAGCCACCAAGCCCAGCTGGAAAACATTTATTTAGTTTTCTCATCTCTAGTAATCTTTCAGTAAATGTCTTTTCCAATAAAGGAATACTTTTATAAAGGATTACATTAAGATGCCTTTCTAATGATAAAATTAGTAGATATGCCAAATTTTATATTACACATTTTAGAAGCAAAAGTCATAGATGTTTCTGAGAAGTGTAAATGCCAATGTAATGTGTACATATAAATTTGTCATACAGATAGAAATTTTAGGTTCCTGTATAGTATTTGAAATATGTAGAATTTTGAGCAACAATCATCAGTACCACAAGAAAATGAAATACTTAATACAGGCTATGATCTTAATAAGTGAAGCCTATTAGAATGCTGAGGTGCATGTAGCAGCATTTTTCCAGAATGCACTCACATGCAGTTTTTTTTTTTTGTAGTTGTTAAACGTTTCTTCCCCTTTGTATTCTGACCCCTATTTCCAATTTTATTTTCCATTTTCTCAAACCACAGTACCCTATAGTGCAGCTTTACAGATCTACTTGTCTGTTTGTTATGTTCTGTGCCTTTGTATGTATTATTTCCTCAGTTGGAAAAATATTTCCTCTGTCTTCATTGCATGTCTAAGTCATACTTATCCTGTTAAATCACTAAATACATTGGCTTAATATGGTTGAGAAAGCTCTTGTGTAGAAAATGTTTGCTGTTATTTGTATTTAAGCTATAAAATTTTGTAGAGTGGGCCTGCAGTGAAAAATTTATTCTTTAATAATCTTGAGAAATAGAAATTGATTTCAAATCTCTGAGCATTGGAAAGTGTACTGGGAGGAATAAATGAAATACTGTGTTTAAAACACCTGACAGAACAACTGGAGATACTAATTTTGTTGTCTCTAAAGGGCTAGGTTTTTATGGCTCTGGACGTTGTAAAAACATGTTTCACTTGGCTATTTTAGAAGTGTTCATCTAGAAGATAATATTTTTAGTTAAGCCAAGCTCAAGATCACTTAATACAGAATTTATAACTAATTCACTAAAACTTTATTTATAACCCTGATCCCTTCGTAAGTTCCTTCTGCTTTCAACTTGTTTATCGAGTTGCCAACTGTTGGCATTTTGGACGTGTTTGTAGTGAACTGTTTAATAATTTTATAATATGAACAAGTAAAGAGGCTAAATTAAACCTATGCCAACAAACATTTAGTAAATTTCAAAAGTGTTGTGTGAGTCACCTGTTTTGATTATCTGTAGAAATTACCAAGCATTTTGACCATATTGTTAGATATTGACATGGTTGTAAGCCTTGATAGACTATACAAGTTTTAATTTTGTTTAAAAATTACATACCTAGATACTCATTTGCATTTACTACTTTAACATAAATGTTTTCCTTAGATGACCTATATCTTTTTTAAAATAACATACCTAGATACCCATTTGCAGTTACTACTTTTATATAAATGTTTTTTCTTAGATGAGCTATATCTATTCTCACTGTATTTATTGTATTAGCTCTTAAAACATTACCATATTTTCTGTTTTTTGAGAGATATCCATTCTATTTGTCTTAAAGACTGGGACAGGGAGAAGTTACTTGAAGCTTGGATGGCCAATCCAGAGAACTGCTGCCAACGATCAGGTGTTCAGATGCCAACACCACCGCCAAGCGGGTATAATGCCTGGGACACGCTTCCTTCTCCAAGAACGCCAAGGACTACACGTTCTTCTGTCACCTCCCCAGATGAAATCAGTTTATCTCCTGGGGATTTAGATACCAGTCTGGTATGGTTTGGTATTCACTATACTTATATCTTTTCTTTGTTTTGGTATTTTATCTCATAAATGATTGAAAGTTGCTCCGTGGCGCACCTGGTTATGTTCTTTTAATTAAATTTTATGCTCTTCTTTAAGGGTTCGATCATCTTCAGTAAAAAGTAATGATAACAGACTTTCTTTTGGAGACAGAATTTTTTTGTGTTGCCCAGGCTGGAGTGCAGTGACATGATCATAACTCACTACAGACTTTAACTCCTGGGCTCAAGCGATCTTCCTGCATCAGCCTCCTAGGTAGTTAGAACTATATTCACATACAACCACACCTGGCTAACTTTTTAGTTTTTTTTATAAAGACAGGATCTTGCTGTTTCCCAGGCTGGTCTTGAACTCCTGGCCTCAGGCAATCCTGCTGCTTCAGCCTCCCAAAACACTGGAGTTACAGGCATGAACCGCCGTACCTGGCCAGTCACAGAATATTTTTGTGATTTCTGAACTATAGATTGAAAAACAAAAGCTTTTCTTTTCTCATTTCAAAACAAAATTTAAAAGAGTGTGCAGAAGCCATCTGTTATATTTCACTTAAAAGCTCTGGTTGCTTAAGGTTTTAAATACAACATGCTATTTGGCCATGGTGGTACCTGCTTATTACACCAACTACTTGGGAGTCTTGGGCGGCAGGATCACTTGAGCCTAGGAGTTTGAGACCAGCCTAGGTAACATAGTGAGACCTCATCTCGAAATAAATACGTGTATACATACATCATATGAAAATATTAAAAGTAAAGTTTATAATAGGCTCTTTAAACCAAAAATACAAAAATATTTTTTATAATTCCTTGAAAACTACTAATTTTTTAACATTTACAATATGTTGATAATTATGTGTGTCTGAAGTTTGTCATCTAGATACATTTCCATAATGTTTCCTTTTTATTAAAAAAGAGTACTGCTATTGTCTGCATTTTGTCATACCATTGGTGTACTGTTACAGGAAATCTTGATATTTCTTCAGTGATTCAGCCACTTAAAATAATCAATAAATATGCAAGCACTCTTCATTTTATTTAGCCCTTTTTGGAAATCAGAATCCTGCTATAATTTGCATCTGTAATATCATAAAGTTTGCTTCTAGTAAGCAATTGCTTAGAAGATACATAGTTTTTATATAGCAGGATTCCCTGGGTAGATGGCCTTAAATTACTATTCTGGATATCCTGAGATGTTGTATTAAAAACACAAAATTACTCTGATTTTTTACTTTTTTTTTTTTTTAATTGGAATCTCACTCTGCCTCCCACACTGGAGTGCAGTGGAATGATCACAGCTCACTGCAGCCTTGATCTGAGCTGAGGCAGTCCCTCTGCCTCAGCCTCCCAGTTAGCTGGGACTACAGGTGCTCACCACCACACCCAATTTTTTTTTTATGTTTCGTAGAGGTCTCACTATGGTGCCCAGGCTGATCTTGAACACCTGGACTCAAGCAGTCCTCCCACCTAAGTCTCCCAAAGCACTGGGATTATAAGCATGAGCCACCGCTCCTGGCCTTACTCAGTTTTTATAAATTTTGAAAGTTAGGTAAGTAAGTGTAGGGTGAAGGGCATGTTACTAAAGTGGTTATTTTGCAACGTGCAATTTGGTCTTGATCTGAGTACATTGTAATGATTTGATTCTTGCACTTTCTTTTCTAAATGCAGAGTTGCTGGTTAATTCATAAATTTGGGTTTTTAAGATTTTTTGACTTTTGCATTAAAACATTTAAATCCTACTATTGATTCTAGTGATATAGTCTTGGTATTTGTTATTCAATCAAAGGCACACTAACTTTAAGTGTCCTTAAAATTTTGAAACATTTAACTTTTAAAATGTATGACCGTGCTAGCATTTTTGTCTTTAAACTAATGAACAAAATGATTATATTGTTCTCTCTCCAAAGTATGACTGTTTAAATCATTGTTTTCATCTCCAGTGTGACATTTGTATGTGCAGTATTTCTGTATTTGAAGACCCAGTGGATATGCCCTGTGGACATGACTTTTGTAGAGGATGTTGGGAGTCGTGAGTATATAAGCAGCTTAGCATCTCTTATTGCATGATAGTACTCTAATTTGGTATTAAAATTGTTTGCTTTCAGTTATTTAATGATACAGACTGTTTATATTGGTTTCTGAGTTATACTGAAATGAATTACACTTTACTGCTAAGAAAGAATATTTTTGTTTTTCTTGTATTGACATCTTCCCATCTACTTCAATTAATGCTGTTTAGCTTAATGTAAGGTACTTTTGGGAAGAAAGCAGGCATAAATAAATAATTGTTCTTAGTTAAATGTTTATTATACTTGATGTAAATTTCAGGCCAACACCTAAATATCAAGAATCAGTTTATGTCTTGTATCCCAAGAATTTTAAACATTTGTTTTTGTGTTATCTGTGAATTTTTTGTGACAAGCAAATAGTCTTGAAAATTTGTAATAATATGGATGTTGAGGCCAGACATAGTGGCTCACACCTGTAATCCCAGCCTTGGGAGGCTGAGACAGGAGGATCGCTTGAACCCAGGAGTTCAAGACCAGTCTGGGTAACATAGTGAAAACTCATTCTCTACAAAAAATAAAAAAATTAACCCGACATGATGGTGCATGCCTGTAGTCTCAGCTACTCAGGAGGCTGAGGCAGAAGGATCTGAGGCCAGGAGGTCGAGGTTGTGGTGAGCTGTGATCATGCCACTGCACTCCAGCCTGGAGCAGGCTGGAGTGCAGTGGCATGATCACATTTAATATAGAATATAGAAATATTTTATATAACATTTAATATAGAAGTATTAAATATATATTTAAAATAGATATTAGATATATATATTTAAAATTCCTTTTAGTGAGGCCAGGCACAGTGGCTCATACTGTAATCCCAACACTTTGAGAGACCAAGGCAAGAGGATTGTTCGATCGCGGGAGTTTGAGACCAGACATGGTTGTGTATATGTTACAAATGGGAAATGTGTTTTACTTCTTGCCAAGTTTTACACTTTCTCACCATCCATTAACTTTGTTCTAATGTTGTACTTTGCCAGAGAAGTTCGTAAACAAATGAAGATTCATATAATGAGCAATATAATGGCATGCTATCTCTGGAGACACCTAAAGCTATTGTTTGGGGACTTTAGTGAAGCATGCCATTAGTATTTGGGGAAATCTTAAAAATCAGAAGCTTTCAAACTTTTTTTCATGGAGTTTCGGGGATCAAATTAGGTAACTGGGGAGTACCATGGGAATGAGAGAGCAAGAACCTGAACAAATTTTCTGGTTTGTTTTTGTTTTAAGCAGCTTTGTTGGGCTACAGTGGATATACATCAAACCATACATTTAAAATAAATAATTTGATAAACTTTGACATATGTATACACCCTTGAAACCTTTACCACAATCAAAACAATGAATATCACTCCCAAAATCTTCATTTTTCCTTCAGTTGTTCCTGCCCGTCTCTTTCTGCTTTCCTTTTATCCCCTCTTCTTCCCCACAATCTGTAGGCAACCACTGATCTGTCATTCCAGTTACATTTTGAATACAGTTTATCTTTTTTCCAAATTGGAATTTGAGGCAAGATTTTATTTGGAGAGAGAAAAATCTACTGTTTTTTAAAAATACTAAGTAAGAATATCTGGTTGTTCGTTTTAAAACAGAGCCTAGATTCTACTGAGTCTAATTAGATAAAATCAAATCAGTTCAGCTGCTACAGGTAAAATAATTGGCAAGGTTCAGAGCTCAAAATCCAAAGCAATCCTTGACCCAGTTCTGGAGGCAGAAAATATTCCCACAGTAACAGTACTTTATTTAGCATAAATTTTTTTTTTTTTTTTGAGTTGGAGTCTCACTCCGTCACTCAGACTGGAGTGCAGTGGCCGCTCCCAGCCACCGCAGTCTCAACCTGCTGGGCTCTGGCGATCCTTCCACCTCAGCCTTCCAAGTAGCCGGAACTACAGGCACACGCTACCACGCCCAGCTAATTTTTGATTTATTGTAGAGATGAAGTCTCACCAAGTTAACCAGGCGGATCTCGAACCCTCAGGCTCAGGCATTCCACTCACCTCGGCCTCCCAAAGTGCTGGGATTACAGGCTGAGCCACCGAGCCCGGCCAGCATAAAATTTTTAACTGTACTGTATTAGGAACTATTACCTGAGTTTTAGCAAGTTAGCTATTATTCTTGGTTTGTATGTAAAAACTGAGCCCCCCCAAGGATTTACTTGAATTTTTTTGACTTCCTTGACCTTCCTCACCTAACTCATATCACAGGAACCATCTCCCATACTCATCACACCTAAATATCAGGAATCAGTTTCTGATTGATCACGGACTAACCACGAGTATATGTTAAAATTTAAATTTTCAAAGATCTAATTATTGACTTTCTTATTACCTTACCAGCCTACCTAGGATTCTCCTCCCCACCCCTGCCAGTTCTTGTCAAATCAAGCACTAGTAAAACAAGTTCCATGTTGAGTGATTCATAAGTTGAGAAAATCATTTTTAAGTTAATTACAGTCTTTTTTTAGACATATAGAAAAAGGAAACTCCTGTCTAAAAATGAGGAAGAGATTTTTTTTTTTTTTTTTGAGTTGGAGTCCCACTCTGTCACCCAGACTGGAGTGCAGTGGCCGCTCCCGGCCACCGCAGCCTCGACCTGCTGGGCTCCGGAGATCCTTCTGCCTCAGCCTTCCAAGTAGCTGGAACTACAGTCGTGCACTAACACGCTCGGCTAATTTTTTGTAGAGGTGACATCTCACCAAGTTGCCCAGGCGGGTCTCAGAATGAGGAAGAGATTTTAAAGGTCCTCAGATAGTTTGAAATCTCCTCAGTCTATTTTACTTTGCCCAACCTTTTTAAATTTCATCAGTCCAGCCAGATGCTTTAAGGTATCTATGCCAAGGGCTTAGCTAAAGGATAGTTATTAATTTCCATACAGAATAGAGCTTCCTTCCTGATATTGAGGATAAGAGCTCAGGTTCTGGATATAATAGACTCCTGGGTTGTACATTCAAACAGTGCTATTTATTAGTTGTTGATTTAGGTAAGGGGTAACCTGCCTATTCCTCAGTTTCCTGATCTATAAAATGGTAACAATAGTTAGTACTTCATAGGATTATTGTCAGTTTATTAAGTGGCTTTATATATGTAAAGTGCTTAACACAGGGCATTGCACATAGTAATCACTCAATAAGTGTTATCTATTATCTTTCTGGGTGTTAAAATAAGCAGAGAGCCTATCAATAATATAATTTGTAAAGGTGACTTACAAAATAAAATATAGGTGAAGTTTGCCCCAAATGTATCTTTTTCACTGACATCAACATCTTGCTCTACTCGGTTTTGTTTTTGTTTTTTTGGTTTTTTTGAGTTGTAGATTCACTGTCACCGAGACTAGAGTTCAGTGGCCACTGCCGGTCACTGCAACCTCGACCTGCTGGGCTCCAGTGATCCTTCCTCCTCAGCCTTCCAAGTAGCTGGAACTACAGGCACGCGCTACCATGCCCGGCTAATTTTTGATTTATTGTAGAGATGAGGTGTTGCCCAGGTGGGTCTTGAACCTGCAGCCTCAGGCAATCCACTCACCTCGGCCTCCCAAAGTGCTGGGATTACAGGCTGAGCCACCGAGCCCGGCCTACTCCTATATTTAGTATAAAATTGTATCTTGATGAGAATTGATAACAGCTAACAAAGAACTGATTTGTCTTCAATGAGGTCTTCTCAGTTCTGCCATTTAATTCCCTAGAGATGATAGATCTGCTTTGATACATTTAGAATGCATAAAATTCAAAACATCACCATACAGTAACTATGTCTAAGCAAACAGTGTACTTTGACAAGGGACTATAAGTATTAAAATAAACTTTCCAGGGAACCAATTCATAGCTAAAAGGAAGCTTATTATGTAAAAGGGAACTTTGCAGTTAGCAGTTCTCTAACTTTTAGTCTCAAGATCTCCTTACATGCTTAAAAATTATTGAGGATCCCATAGAACTTTTGTTTATATGTTTATATCTACTTATATATATACATCTGTTTGTATGTTTATAACATATTTTAGAAATACATCAGAAATTAACACTGAAAAAATTTTAGTGTTTATTAATTCATTTAAAAATAACTAAACCCATTTTATGTTAACATAAATAACATTTACTATGAACAATAATTATTTCTCCAAAAAAATTTATTGAGAGTAACATTGTTTACATTTTTACAAATCTCTTTAATGTCTAGCTTAACGGCAGATGGTTTTTTTTTTTTTTTTTTTTTTTTTTTTTGAGTCGAGGCCTCAGTCTGCCATCCAGGCTGGAGTACAGTGGTGCATTCCTAGCTCACCACAGCCTAGACCTCCTGGTCTCAAGCTACCACACTCAGCTAATTTTTTTGGATTTTTTTGTTGAGGTGATGTCTCACTATGTTGCGCAGGCTGGTCTGGAACTCCTGAGCTCAAGCAATTCCCCTGCCCCTGCCTCCCAAAGTGCTATGATTATAGGCATGCACCCAGCCAAAAATGTTGTATTCTTATATCTGCTTCTAAGTTCAGTCAATTGCAATATATATTTTTTGGTCAACATATATAAAGAAAATCTGGCCTCACACAGATATGTAGATGGAAAAGAGAGAAATATATTAATAACTTATTCAAATAATTATGGATACTCTTTGATGTACATCAAAACTCAACAAGTGATAGTTTTTAATGGTTAGTTGCAGTGTAAAATCCAAAACCCTATCAGTGGATTTTTTTGTACTTTGTTACATTAAAATCCATTGGTCTGTCTTGCACTTTGAGTCAATCTCTTAGCCTATGACCATACCACCCTGAATTCACCTTATGTCATCTGAACAGATCTTTTACCCGTGCATGGTTTTGTAGCATCATTCAGTGATCATTTGGAAAATATTGGCTCCCTGAGTTCTACAGATCTTTGAGAAATGTTAATTTATTTCTCTAAACATAAATATAATGACAAAATCACATTAACTCATCTTACCACTGATCCTATTAGAAAAATATCTTCAGTGTTGGGAATAATAGCAGATAAGAGTGTTTCAAAATTCTGATTTTTACCTGAAGGCTTGAATTTTATCACTGCTGGTCATACTGTCAGTCTTTTCCTCGACGTGACAGACTCAATTCATTTTCCAAAAAAAGTGTACTGTATACCCAAGTCTGAATAATCAGTTTGTAGTCATTTTTTCATATAAAAATGTGTTTAACCAAAAAAGAAGGTATGTCTGCTTGCAACTTGACCAATCTAAGAGCTTTTCTTGGAGACAACCATCATGTTTTGGTATGCAGCCGAAGTTCATTATGTTTACTTCCCATTTCTTTGCTCAGAGTACCCAAAAGATGTGTATAAAGGGTCATGGTTTAATAAAACTAATAATTTGTATTATTCTGTCAAGGACATTCTTAAATGAAACAGACTTTTTTTTTAACTGTAAATGTGGGGCAATGAAGAATACAAAGACTACTACTGGTACAGTTTCATTGCCACTGCTAGAGTCATGCTAAGACACCAGCAGTTTTAACCAAAAAGGAAGTGAAGTCTTGGTACCATTATGAAAATAGTTTTTACCTCATAAGCCCCCTGAAAGGTGTCAGGAACCCCCACAGCTTCTAAGATCAAATTTTGAGAACTGCTGCTTTACAGCGTTTCCCTTGAATGCTTCATCTATTCTTACTTTGGCCAAATGTTTTCGCTGGCATCCAGAGTAATACAGATAATTTTTAACTGGAAACAGGTACTGAGTGCTCTTTTATTGGGGTATATCAGAGCTTTATGGTGATAGTATGGTTTTTTAAATTATATTGGAAGCAGAGAGGAAGTTTCAAAACATGTTGATTTTAAAATATCTGTGCAACATTTAAATAAAAATATCCTGTATGTAATTAAGATATAGCGCTAAGGAGGGAGATGGGGCTTCAAAGTTTAGAGTCATTAGCATAGAGTGTGTTAGGAGTGTTTAGTTCACCAGAGATTGTGTGAAATGAGATGGGAAGAATGTTGTGGTGAAAACCCAGGAAACAATAAAACTTAAGGGATCAGGAACAAAAAAGACACTAGTGAGGAAATGGAAAAGGGACTGCCCGAGGTAAGAAGAATGCCAGAGGGAAGAGAGAATTTAAAATGAGGAACCAGCTGGACTCGGTGGCTCAGCCTGTAATCCTGCGCCTTTGGGAGGCTGGGGTGAG